AAATTTCAGAGTTTTTCTGTTTTCATCGTTTTGTCGTTCTGAATTTTGTTGATAGTAATATCGCATTGCGTATTGTGTGTGTGGGTGTTTGTGTTTGCATTTGTTTTCGTTAAAAATTCTGTCTTTGGTGGCGTCTGCGGGCGGTTGAAGAGTGTTGAGGAGGGAGAGAGTTTCGGTGAATTTGTTGGGGATGGAAATCGGGCGATGAACGATGCCAGTGCAGCGCGGCGGAGTGCGGAGAGGCCGGAGAGTGAATCAGCAGCCGCAGGTGAACGACAACAATAATAATAATAATAATCAGCATCCGATTGAAGAGGCGGGGATTGCCACCAGGACGCGGAGGAGGAGAGCTGCGGCAGCAGCGGCGGCGGCGGCAGCGTTGGTGCCGATTAATGATAACGTAGGCGGTCTCCCACCGGCAGCCGCGGCGGCGGAGGAGCTAGTTGTCGCGGGAAAGGTGGAAGCAATTCCCGCCGTGAACAACAGAGAGGAGGTTGGCGATAAGCTCATGGTTATGAATGATCAAGGTGGCGGTGGCGGTGGCGGTGCCGGGAAGAGCGCCGATAAAGGTCAAGCCGCCGATGATGACGCAAACGCCGCTCCCCTCCCAGAAAAGGTAAGTCTTTCCTTCCAACTCCCATCACTGTTCCCATGATAGCTGCTTAATTTAATTTAAAACAAAACGCCTGAAGAATTTCAAAAACTACAGGTGGCAACTTTCCATTGCGCTTTGATTAACATTATTTTTTGTATATTCTATTTACTAGCGTTACTTCTTCTTTTTGGTCTTCCGCATGAGTATTCTTGTTCTATCCGATGTTGTTGTCGATCACCTGCAATTTATGTTGATGTTTTATATCTCTACATACAACTCTTTCCTCTAATAAACAGATTTCATACTTCTATTTTCTGCAAAATCTGAATCACTTCATATTTATAGTCATTTTGCCATTCTAAAGTATTTCAGGGTACACATATTTTCCTTTTTTATCTTTTAGAGTAGGTGTGGTTCACACAGATATATCATCCACTGAATCTGTATATTATTTGGCAAACTATTCATGTTCATTCATCCCAGGTATATATATATACATAGTAAAACCATTGTTCAGGTTGGGGAGGCATACCAGTGGATGCACTTATGACACCTTTGAATATAATCAAAGCATTTCAGAAATTTGGGACAGCTTAAAACAAATATATGTTTTTGTTGGTACAGGTGCAGGTTGGGGATTCTCCATTGTATCGGCTAGAAAGAAAGCTTGGTAAGGGAGGCTTTGGACAGGTCTATGTTGGTCACCGTATTTCAGGGGGTGTTCTAGGTGAAAGATCGGGCCCTGGAGCGACAGAAGTACCCACCATGTTTCCCTTATTGATCACTTTGACTTTAAGGTTTTGTTTTCCAGAGTTACAAGCTAGTGTTTTTATGTGTTGCTGTGCAGGTGGCCTTGAAATTTGAGCATGTAAACAGTAAAGGATGTAGCTATGGACCGCCTCATGAATGGCAGGTTTACAAGTAAGTTTAATGTGCACTTATGTGTTGTGATGAGTTGGTTGTGTTTATGATGATCCTAGTCTCTTTACTCGTCTCTCATTTATACAGCACTCTTGGGGGCAGTCATGGTGTACCACGAGTGCACTATAAAGGCCGACAAGCTGACTATTATATCATGGTATGTCGTGGATGATGTATAGCCATGTGGATGATGTGTGATCAAGATACACACTTTCATGTTTTTGAATTGTCTATATAAATGGAAGAGCTTTAATTTCTGCAGGTAATGGACATTCTTGGGCCTAGCTTGTGGGATGTATGGAACAATAACTCTCACACGTAAGTATATTTATACTAACGGATGAATATTTCCATCTTCCTTGTGCCATAGAAGTTGCAATATTGAGTTTTCTGTTGTGCAGGATGTCCATTGAAATGGTAGCTTGCATTGCTATAGAAGCTATATCAATACTGGAGAAGATGCACTCTAGGGGGTGAGATTTATTATTGATCACTTCAACTTCAAAATTTGCAAAAGTTGTTTCTCTATAGTCATAATCTTTAAAGAAAATCTAATATGCAAGAATGTTGATAGGTATGTTCATGGGGATGTTAAACCTGAGAACTTTTTGCTAGGACCACCAGGGACTCCTGCTGAGAAGAAATTGTTTTTAGTTGATCTTGGTTTAGGTAACTCCTCATCATGAATTTCTATTTTCCACCCCCTATTCTGCTCTTATTTGCATTTTTGGTGCGTTATTAAGTATTTATCTTGTGGTTTTACAGCAACTAGATGGCGAGATGCCACAAGTGGTCAACATGTTGACTATGATCAGAGACCTGATGTTTTTAGGTTAGCTGATTCTGGCTATATTTAATGGAGAGAATTTTATCTAATTTCTTGGTCTTCATATACTGATGTAAAGTCTTATTTTGTGGGTTTTTGTTATCCTAATCTGTAAGGGGAACTGTTCGATATGCTAGCGTTCATGCTCATTTAGGCCGAACGAGTAGCAGGAGAGACGATTTAGAATCTCTAGCATACACACTGATTTTCCTCCTCCGTGGCCGTCTTCCTTGGCAAGGTTTTCAGGTTCGACTTTTTTAATGCAGTAACAAAGAGTGATTATTATTTTTTAGTTATTCTTGTTCAGGTTTGAGCAACATGATTTTGTTTTTCTTAGGGTGATAACAAGGGGTTTCTTGTTTGCAAAAAGAAGATGGCTACATCTCCAGAAGTTTTATGCTGCTTATGCCCACAACCTTTCAAATTGTTTGTGGAACATGTCGTGAATTTAAAATTTGACGAGGAACCCAACTATGCAAAATATATCTCCCTTTTCGATGGAATTGTTGGGCAAAATCCACTAATCAGGCCAATAAACACAGATGGCGCACAAAAGGTTGCTTATACATCATCAAGTTAGAGTTTTTTTTTTTTTGAACAGACTAAAGATCCATTTCCCGCTTACTAATTTTCATCCTTTTCCATACAAAGCTTATATACCAGGTTGGTCAGAAGAGAGGCCGGTTGACTCTTGAAGATGAAGATGATGAGCAACCAAAGAAGAAGGTACGCATGGGGGTACCTGCTACACAGTGGATCAGTGTTTACAATTCTCACAGGCCTAAAAAACAAAGGTAAACCTTATTCTTCACAACGGGCTTAGTGATTTCGTACCATGTTACTCTGGTACTTCATAGTCTTGCTTAGTTTGCCTCGTATTCTCTGTGATCGAAAGATATGATTGGATAGTGCCTTTGTTCATGAAGGTATCACTACAATGTGTCTGACGCTAGACTTCCCCAACACATAGATAAAGGATACGAAGATGGCCTGTTTATAAGCAGCGTATCATCTGCCACTAATTTGTGGGCGTTAATCTTGGATGCTGCTACTGGCTTTACTCATCAAGTGCACGAACTTTCTCCTTCCTTTCTTCACAAGGTTCGTTCTTCTCATATATCTTTCAAGCGGTTTGTTCATAGAGGATCGATGCTGTTTGAGCAATTCCTCTTGCTATTCTTAACAAATCTTTTATTGGGATATAGGAATGGATCATGGAACAATGGGAAAAGAATTATTACATCACTGCACTTGCTGGATCTACTAACGGGAATTCATTGGTGGTGATGTCAAAAGGTTCTTTTCGGCCTATACTCTGGATTCGTTATTCTGTTTTATTTCTACTTTGCTTGACTTTGTTCGTTTTCATCGCTAGGCACACAGTATTTCCAGCAGTCTTATAAAGTAAGCGATCAATTTCCTTTCAAGTGGATAAACAAGAAGTGGAAAGAAGGGTTTTACATTACCTCCATGGCCACCGCAGGCAGTCAATGGGCAATTGTCATGTCTCGCGGTGCAGGATTTTCCCACCAGGTTTCTGTTCATCGTCTTTTGTCTTTTCTGGGCAATTGTCGTGTTCTTGACTGACTTTGCTTTCGTTTTAGGTCGTGGAATTAGATTTTCTTTATCCCAGCGAAGGAATCCACCGGAGGTGGGATTCTGGATACCGGATAACAGCCACTGCAGCAACGTGGGACCAGGCCGCTTTTGCTCTAAGCATTCCAAGAAGAAAGCCGACTGATGAAACACAAGAAACGCTTCGTACATCTGCCTTCCCAAGTGCTCATGTTAAGGTCCACCGACCATTCTTCCACACCATATCATTCTCAACTATATATCTATCATTCCATGCTGATTGCTCGTGTTGAACCTTGCAGGAGAAATGGGCTAAAAACCTATACATCGCATCCATTTGCTATGGTCGTACGGTTTCATAGATCCACACAAACATCACGAAGAACACACGTTCTATTGATAGCAGAAAGCCTGGCTATTTCACAAGATTGATGCCCGGGCTGAACTGAACAAGTGTTGGTTGGTACAAACTTTAGGCTTTTAGTTGCTTATCTGAGACTCTTTTCAGCAGAGATTTTTGTCTCTCTGCAGTGTGAATAGTCTGTTTTTTTAAAGCCTGTTATCGTATATAGCATGTGAAGATGACAGGTGAAGTAACTGATTTTACTAAATATATATATTCTTCTGAAAATATGCATCATTTGCTTCATGCTTTTCCCCCTTCATTATTCATAAACTAAAGAATTAAGTAAATTCTAAGGTGCAAATTGATATACGCGTTTTTAAAAGTATCAGCATTGATTGGCACTAGAGTTATACTCGGTATAATAGGTATCATTGTTAATCGGAATCAGAATTGTACCCTGTATAATAAGTACCAGTGTCAATTGGCACCGGAACTTTTCTAAAAAAAATAATGCATTTACGGTGTGTTTAGTTTAAGTAATCACATTTTACGATATCCCAATCTCTTAAATTTTAACATTACTCGCAAAAAGAAAAAAAAATGAATTACAAATTCATTCCTAAAGATTCACATTCTTGCAGATTATTGTACACATAACATGAACTGACAACATTGTTTTACATATATAATATATGAGAATTTAGTTCAAAGTGAGGTTCAGTGGCCATTTCTTGATGTAATGAAAAGAATGTGTCATCCTCAGTACAGCCAAATCTGTTTTCTTCACTGTTACAACAGTCAAACAGGACCCATACATTAGAACAGAAACAATTGTCAGTTTCTTAAAGGTTCAAAGAGTTCTACTACATGTACTCCCAAATTCTACTCCCTCACTTTTACTCCATGATGGAGCCTTAATCCTGCCTGGTTGGCCTGCGACAGATCTTGTTAATCTCGACTTTGTCCTGGCAGTGCAACGATTAGAATGACAAGTGATAAACACAGAAAACAGCATGATGAATGCTCAAGCGGAAAGAATTTTGAAGATATATGGAGAGTTTATGGATTTACCTCAGTGTTATCGTAGTCATACCGGACAACGAAGATGCACCTGCAGCCTGCAATATCATGTTCTCTTCTTTCGATTTCAGCAATGTGTGCATCGCAGTACAAAGCATGATCGTCGTTTTCCTGGAAACATAACATTCGTGTCAAGAGGGTCAAGGTGTTTTGGTTTCTCAAAAAAAAAAAAAGAAATTGTTCGATCAACATGAAGTTGTTAGCCGCATTAGCTTGATACAATTAAAGCATGTGCTCCATCTCAACTAAAAACAAAAGCTGATAGTTGGACTGCACATTTATGTTTATATATTGGCATGAGGTTAGCTCTGATATCAAATTAAAGCATGTGTTCCATCTCAACTAAAAGTCTAAGATGATAGTTCGACTGCACATTTATGTTTATATATTATATATGCTCAACAGATACTATATGTGTGAGATACAATATACAAGAGATATGGAAGTTTACCCTGAAGCAGAGAACAAGATCCCCAACCTCGACTTTATCACATTCTGAATGATCTAGTGGAATTGAACGCTCACGAAGTCCCCTTCGAACACTCACCCACTCATCTTGATCATTCCTGAATCCAGCAAATCTCACACGAACCTCCTGGCGTTTAATTTGACGATTTTAATTTTTTTCAAAAATGACAAGTATTATAACCATCATTAACCCCCACTCATAAGCATGCCATGTCGGGAGAATAAACCAGAAGGAAAGGAAACAAAGAACACAAATCTCACAAGGTCACCCGAATATGTGACTCGATAGTTGAGGAAAGTAGCAACATCATACCTGTAAAGTAAGAGAGTGAAGCCAATTTGTCACAACTTCATGACACGATTGAAGATTATTATATAAAAAAAACACCGTTTTCTCAAACACTAAAAGAGTAGTTTCGAGTGAGAATTAAGAGGAATATAGGAATGCCTTAAATTCTAACCAAGCAAAATCCTTTGATGACAGAGCTTCAAAAGCCAACTCTGACAGCTGTGCTGCCCTTTCACCTGTAAGGAAAGGTATGAGTTTTTAATGTTCCAAAACAGAAATAAATAGGTGGTGGAATTCAAGTAGGTAGCTTTTATAGTCTCATAGGGTATAATAAGGCTCATCTGTGAACCAATCCTTTCCACCTACTTGAATTCCCTTATGATTCATTATACATCCAAGGATTTAACAAAACACCTCACAATACAAATAGACGGCAAATCCACTGCAATTAAGCCACAAAATGCAGAATTATGAACGTTGAAGAATACCTATGGGCTTCTGATACTTTTCAGACGCATATTGTGAGGCTATCTTACGAATGGAAGGGTTTAACTCTTTAGGGATAATTTTCTTTGGTCTTCCTACAGGCCGAGGAGTCACATCTGTTCCGTTAAGTAGAGATAACAGAGTATCTTTAGCTGCCAGTCCATTCTGCTTATTGTGGAACCAAGTTTTCACCTAGAGGAGGGTAAGGTAAGGACCTAGTGTTAGTCAAAGAATACAGCTACAACATTGCTCCAGAAAATTTTTAAGTGACAATTCACAAAACGAACCTGTTCCCAAGCTATGACAGTTTTCCCAGAACGATAAGGTGAAGAACTGCAAAATTTGGAATATAAAAAAAGAGAGGAAAATCGCACTATTAGTACTAAACTACAGTGACTATGCAGATGGATGAAGCATGCCTGGGTTGAAGTTACCTGAATTTTGCTGCAAGCTCTTCACAAAACTCCTGATCAAGAGTCTTTTCTCCCTTTTCCTTGAACGTGATTTCCATTTCCATAATCTGTTTGAGAGAAATGAAAGGGCTAAGTCATGTATATGCTCAAATATTAACCATTGCAAACTAAGCACCTAAGGCTGCACTTGGATATAGATATGACTTTAATCCATGGTTTGAGAAACTACTGCATAAACATTATTCTGTTATTCAGTGGATGTTTGCCAAACCTATTGTATATGATCATTTACATCATAGATCAATTAAGCTACCCTTTTCATGTTTGCCAAGACTGTACAACACTTTTTAGCTCATGTAAGCAGATAATCAGTAATAACTTGGAGTTGTATATACAGATTGTTTACAATCTGCAATCATGAACAATTAACACAACCCTTTTTCCCAGAAAAATAGAAAGCAAAATAAGTTAGACGCACAAACAGATTGCTTATAAGCTGAATTACTCAAGCATTTTGATTCAAGAACTGCAATCTGTGCCATAAAGCTTCAAAATTGAGCAAACCCCATAATAAATATTAAATAAAAAACAACTGGGAAAATGGAAAATAGGAGATAAAATTCAAAAAAAAAAAAATCGAAATATAAGAAAATCTGATTCTCATAATCAATAAAGAAAGATCATAACTACAGGGCAGTATGAAAAGTGAATAGAATCTGAGTTTACCTCAGCTAATGTGAACTCTGGGAAATCATCTTCTTCCTGTGTATCCATTTCCATCAAGTACTCCATTTCTCCCTCCCACAAAGAAACCGCGCAGAGTTTGTGCTTTGGAAAGTGGCAGAATAAACTTTTCTCGTCTTTGTTAATGCTATTCAGCCTAGGGTGAAACGGGGATATGAATTCGATGAAAAACAGGTAAGTGGTAACTGGGTAGCATCAAATTTGACAGTGGAGTAATTTTCTTCTCTTGAAATGAGAAAAAAAAAAAAAAAAATTATACTGTGTTTAATGCCACAGTCAAACCCCTTGATGTTAACGCTATTGTTTCGGAATGAGTGCTAGCAGAATCAACTCAAAATACTTGCAATCCTTTTTCTTTTTTCTTTTTTTTTTTGAAAAAAATACAAAAGTATTGAATTTTAATAGAATCAATAGTACTAAAAAAAAATTGGTATTGGAATTAAACTTTGTAAACTATAGGTTTCTATCTCGGATATAAACTAGTTTTATAATAGTAAAAATAGTAAGTAGGTGGAAAGATAATTTTGTCAAAAAGTCACGAGTTCAATTTTTACGGATACATTTTCAGTTGAACCTTTCTATTGCAATGTATTTCTCTTATATTATTTATCGGCTATTACACAAAAATAAAATTTATTTATGCACGTCCTTTGATAATAAATGTGCTTTCACTAGTCCTAAAAAAATGTATAAAATTTCTGCTTTTTTAAAAACTATTTTCTTTTTATTATTATTTACTTTTGTTAATATTTATTTTAATTTTATCATATATATCTTTCAAATACTTAATAATTTTTCTTTCAATGATAATACTCACTATTAATCGAACCAACATGGTTAGCGTGGTGGTTCAGCACCTCGTCGCTTAAGCAGGACCCACTTAGTGTGCTGACTGTAGAGACGGGGGATTAGTTTTCTGGCTATCGGCTAGAGAGATACCATTGGGCAACCAAAAAAAAATACTCACTATTAATATATCAATTAATTTGTTAATAATCATTGAAATGGCATTTATTATGAGTTATAAATACATTCCCTTATTAATATGGAGTAGTATTACTAATTCAGATTTGATTCGTGTTGTTAAAGTTAAGTATTATCGATAAAAGATCTAGTTCAATGCTCGTTTAAGACATGCATATCGAAGTGTAACATCCAATCCTTCATTTACATTAACAACCTGTTTATCAATTAACTCAATAAGTAACTTTAAAAAAAAAAAATACTCACCATTATATATAAAGTCAAGATCATATAAGTGCGAGTAGCCTCATGAGAATGTATGGTATAGTCTCACCAATATATCTAAGATGATCAATGGTTAAAAATAAAAAAAAAAATACAATAATATTTCTGCAATTGTAATAATACATTTAGAAAGACATGATATATAATGCATTTGTGGATACAAATATCCAATCATATTGGCAAAATAAGCATTACATGTTGGCAAAACAAATCTCAGAAAATGTACAATATATTTCCAACCAAAATTTTAAAACAAAAACAAACAAACAAAACAAAAAAAAAAAAAAAGGGGGGTGGGGGGGTGCGCAACCCAGAAATAAAGACGAAGAAATTATAAATGGAAAGTCCAACAAAAAACAAAACAAAACAAAACAAAAAAAAGGTCGTGTATGTGTGTGCCTGCAGTGCTTCGATCATATTTTATATTTTTTTAAAAATGAAGGACAAAAATTGGTAAACAATAATAAATAATACTGCAATAATGATTTGTTGGGCAAAGGAAATTGTCTTTTCTTTTTTAATTTTTATTTCCGGTGGAGAATACAAAATAGCCATTGAAATGCAGTCCTCTTTTTCTTCTCCTTCTTCGAACATTTCCCTCCCTATCACATGCTTATACCTTCCACCACTGCATGCCTGCACAAGAAAATTCAGTAATCATGATTACACTCTCCTCTCATATAATAGTTCACAAATCAAGAAAATCCTATATAACAGTCTTGACCAAGAGAATATTGACAAGAATCAAATACGTGACCTTCATGTATGAAAATCACGTTTTCATTCATCTGGTCACCACTTTCTAATGATTTTTTAGTTTTGACTCTTGATTTTTTTTTCTTTTTTTTTTTTTTTTTGGTTTGATTATTAAAAATGTTTCATTTTTTAGTATTCAAAGTATTTGAAATGTTATATTATTAAATACAATAAAACAAGGTTTGATGGAATTTTCACATGCAAACCGAAAACATTTCAGATACTTAGTATTAAAAGTGCACGCAATGCTTTTAAAAATGTACGACTGAAAGTATTAAAAAAAAAAGAGTTATGAATAAAAAATTAAAAATGCCAATATATATAGTTAAAAGTGGAATAAATTCCAAAAGTAAAAGCTTATAGGATTTTTTCATTTTTTTTTTTAATTTAAAGATATGCTTTTTGCAATTGCATGTCATCATAGCTAGGCGGTGAGGTATAATAATATTCTTTTTATAATTAATTCAAAATATAATATTAAAATATATCTTTATAGCATGACAATGTACAATGTGATAGAAGCACATTGTATTTAATTATTTTAAAATTTAAAGAAGTTTTACACTATTATATGACACATACAATATCATAATTTTTTTGAAAATAGTAATAGGACTATTGGTGACCAGAGAAATCACAGTTATTATTAAAGGTATGTAACTGTAAAATTTATGATTATATTTTTGTGTAATAGTTTATAAATTTCAGGTAAATTGCACTAATAAGACTGACAATAATATATCAGAATTATGTTGTACTCACATGGTGAAAAAAAAAAAGGGAAAAAGAAAAAGTTAATTACCTGTAATCTATCACCAATGGTGAAGATGAGGGCATCGGCATGGGGCTGAAAGGAGACCCAATCTTTCCTGGAGTAGAGATTGAAGGCGGAGGATCCATTGGTGAAATGGACGCAGAGAGCATGAGGAAATTCACAGCCTCTGATCAGTACTCTAATGACATCATATTTCAAGCTGTTTCCATCTCCATTCCGCCATTGTTTGTGCAGATAGCAGACGCTGGAGCTTCCTGCACCTTCTTCTTCTTCATGTTTATGTTCTTGGAATAGTAATGGTAGTCTTGATCTGTTGCTCATCTTCTTCTCCAAGAACTCGAGGATTTTCCCAGAAATGTATCCCACTTCACTCGACAGCTTTTCCATCTTTTCTCTGGATGAGTTTTTGGATCGGAGAGATATATGTATATAGGACGTAGGATAGGATTAGTGAAAACTGAAAAGATCAGAGATAGATCGAATTGAGGTTGTCGGCTTGTCGGGTGGCAGGCCGGCAGTTATTGAATTACCTGAAATTTGAATATCCGAGAGGCCAGATTCCCTCCATTTGTTTGTTGAAGATTTGATCGTCTTTGCACCATACAAACTCCTCGCTCGCTTCCCGGTCGTCCTCCGCGTGAACCTCCTCGAAACCCCAGAGCTTCTCCGGCGACCTGGTCGCCGTCGCTTTCATCTCCCGCGGGATCCTGAAAACCGCGCCGCCGGCGGAAAGAACGGACTGGATCAGATCACTGGGAATTCCGTGGTTGATGACCTGGAAGCAGCCGATGCTGGCAACCGAGTCGAGAATCTGGAGTGCGGAATCTGTGTCCATTGATTCCAACGACCGGAAGTCGAGCTTGGGCGGGCTCTGGGCCAGTTTCTGGCGAGGGAAAACGCGGTCGGGGAGAACGAGGTCGGGGACTTTGAGGGAGCTTTCTAGGAAGTGGGTGAGAACCTCGTCGTTGGCGACGCAGGAACGCCGTCCGGACGCAATCGGAGAAGGCGGCGGGGCCCGGAAATCTAGGACGCGGGGATCCGTGGGGAATGATTCGGGCGTGACGGCGGCGGCCATGTCTACCTAGCTTAGCTAGCCTGAATCTTGATTCTCCGATGAGTTGTCTCTGTGCGTATATATGAATCATTAAGGAGTGGATCGGAGTAGTAAGAAATTAAATGGGAAAACTACAAATTAAAGTGAAAGAAAAGCATGGTGGGGGTGAGGGGAAACAGCAATGATGGCAATGTTAGGAGAGTGAAGCTAGCAACCATGTCCTACGTTAACTTTAATTTATTTTTGCATGTTTTATTCTTTTGAAAAATCATATAACACTGTTTTTTTTAACACCAAATACTATATATATATACTCCGTATTTCAGTAAAGTCTGTATTGCAATTATAACCCACAAAATATCACAATAAAATAAATTGGGTTTTAACCTAAGAAACTATTTATATTTTCATGTCTTTGCTTTACAGATGTGATATGTTTTCTCACTATACTTTTCTTCTTCATGTTGAATTCTCTCTGGTACGTACTTGATTGTGTTTTAAAACAGTGGCCAGCCTGACATGCTTATGCCTTTTTTAATATAATAATATAATTATATCGTCAAAGAGGATGATGGAAAAAATTACTATTTTTGTCTCTTAATTATTTTGTAACTTTAATTTAGTCTTTAATTTTTTTTTAAAAAAAAATTATTGACCCTTTGATTATTTTAAATTTCATCAATTAAATCATATAGCTACGGTTTGGATAACTAACAGCTGACTAACAAAATAGTGACTATAATACTTAATTAATGAAATTTAAAAAAAATTAGAGGATCAGTTCGATCAAATTTAAAATTAGAAAGTAAATTGATAGTTGCAAAATAATTAAGGGACCAAAACAATGATTTTCGTAAATATATAGTTTGACAAAACTATGAAACTTAGGTTATAAAAAATAAAAAGAGAAAACACCACTTTTGATCCTTGAATTATTTTACTTTTAAAAATGTTGTCTATGTTAATTGATTTGAATAGATGTAGTCCCTTAATTGTTCATTATGTTGTACTTTTAGTCCTTGTTGTTATATAATTATCAAATTTCTTTAGTAAATTCTTTTTTATGAGGTTAATTTTATCATTTAAAATCAATATTAATGGTTAAAGTTTCATTCTCTCGAAGGAAACATTATTTGTAATAGTAAATATTAATTCTAAATAATAAAAATAATCACATATGTTAATAGAATTTGACAATTATATAACACAATGAACAAAAAGTGTAACATTTTAAATAATTAAGGGACTAAATTTATTTAAATTAACTTACGTGGACTATATAATGGGTTATTTGAAAACGTTAATTGGGCCTTGTACATGAAGGGAAAGTCAAGCTATTTTTAGAAAAATATG